ACTTTGTTGGAACTTGGTATGATCTCCTTAATCTTCTTTTGTTCTCACTTCTTTGCAATGACCTTAGTTAAGATACACAGCCCTAAGCCTAGAATGCAAGTTGCCAGTTGCACTAAGCGCCATTAGAACAACAGGAAAACCTTGCTCAATGGGAGGATTATTCATTAGGTATTCAGAGGCAAAGTCCATGGTCTTTGAATTGTTCTGTGTCCGCGTGTATACTGTGAAACACACCTATGGTAGAAGTACAGCCCTTAACCTCTCGGCAGCTGTTTGCTCATCGGGTGCTATGAGACTAAAGATGACTTACTCTTTGCTCTCTGCAGTATTTACCTTGTAACTTAAATTCCTGTGGGACTTAAGTTCTCATCAGGCTTTAGTCATCCTGTAGCTTTAGATGCCGTGTCAGGTTTCCTATTGCATTACTCCTATTAACTTCGGAGATCAAGATAACACTTAAGTTGTTTGGCTTTTTCCTCTCTGAGATGAAGCCTTGTATGTGAAGTTTTTTTAAGTCTGTGGGTTTTGATTTTGCTTCTTTCTTCACGCAAGGATTTTCTTATCTCAGTTTATAGCTCCTCAGTGGAAGCATCCCTGAATTATTTCTTCACTTCTGCATAATTTTAAAATCGGTCATTTCTGAGATCAATAATTAAGTCTTGATAGTCCGTCTTAGAGTCCTTTATTAATGCCAGCTGCACGGGCTGGATTGCAGGGTCTTTGAGACAGGGTAGCATGATGATTTTTACAGAATCACAGAATAGTTAAGATTGGAAGGGACTTCTGGAGATCATCTCATCTGACCAGAGCAAGGGGCAACTAGAGCAGGTTGATCAGGACCTTGTCCAGTTAGGTTTTGAATACATCCAAGGATGGAGGCTCCACAACCTCTCCAGGCAGTCTGTTCCACAGTTTGATCACTCTTACAATAAAAAGGGGGTTTTCTTATGTTTATAAATTGAATTTCCTGTATTTCAATTTGTTCCCATTGCCTCTTGTCCTTTCCCTGGTCACCACTGAGAAAAGTCTGGTTCGGTCTTCTTTACTCCCTCCCATCCAGTATTTGTACATGTTGGTAAGATCATCCCGAGCCTCTCTTCTCCAAGCTAAACAATTCCAGCACCCTCAGCCTCTGATTGTATGCAAGAATCTCTTATCCCTTAACTTTCACAGCCCTTCTCTGGACTTGTTCCAGTAGATCCATGTCTGTCTTGTACTTTGGAGCCCAGAGCTGGACACGACACTCCAGATGTGGTTTCACCAGTGCTGAGTAGAGGGGAACAATCGCCTCCCTTGACCTGCTGGCAACATTCTTCCTAACGCGCTTCTTTGCTTACATTGTGGGGGGGAAAACCCAAACCAACAGAACTTCTAAGGGTCGCCTCCTTGAGCCGGTGCTTGACATTGACTCCCTCTTGTCCCATGGTGGTGCTTTCAGAGTTAAGAGTGTGCAATCGTAATGGTTGGATGTGGCCATTTTGGCTCACAGGATGCTAAAGTATGCTGGGGAAGGTAATTTTTGCGTGGCAAATGCATGTAGTTCACAGTGCAAATGGACAATATATGAATCTAGAGGTGCATTTACCTAAGTGTCAGAAGCCCTTCAGTCAGCCCAGCCTTTTCATTTTTATGGAGGGAAAATTATTTACTACATCAAATCACTTGCTTGTCATAGTTCCCTTTTCTGAGTGTGGTTTGTGAAAGCCATGTTGCTGATTTAGAATTCCTGTTTCAGCTGATCTCTCAACTTTTTTCCTCATTTCCCTGAAACGCAAGTCCATGGTCTTTGAATTGTTCTGTGTCCGCGTGTATACTGTGAAACACACCTATGGTAGAAGTACAGCCCTTAACCTCTCGGCAGCTGTTTGCTCATCGGGTGCTATGAGACTAAAGATGACTTACTCTTTGCTCTCTGCAGTATTTACCTTGTAACTTAAATTCCTGTGGGACTTAAGTTCTCATCAGGCTTTAGTCATCCTGTAGCTTTAGATGCCGTGTCAGGTTTCCTATTGCATTACTCCTATTAACTTCGGAGATCAAGATAACACTTAAGTTGTTTGGCTTTTTCCTCTCTGAGATGAAGCCTTGTATGTGAAGTTTTTTTAAGTCTGTGGGTTTTGATTTTGCTTCTTTCTTCACGCAAGGATTTTCTTATCTCAGTTTATAGCTCCTCAGTGGAAGCATCCCTGAATTATTTCTTCACTTCTGCATAATTTTAAAATCGGTCATTTCTGAGATCAATAATTAAGTCTTGATAGTCCGTCTTAGAGTCCTTTATTAATGCCAGCTGCACGGGCTGGATTGCAGGGTCTTTGAGACAGGGTAGCATGATGATTTTTACAGAATCACAGAATAGTTAAGATTGGAAGGGACTTCTGGAGATCATCTCATCTGACCAGAGCAAGGGGCAACTAGAGCAGGTTGATCAGGACCTTGTCCAGTTAGGTTTTGAATACATCCAAGGATGGAGGCTCCACAACCTCTCCAGGCAGTCTGTTCCACAGTTTGATCACTCTTACAATAAAAAGGGGGTTTTCTTATGTTTATAAATTGAATTTCCTGTATTTCAATTTGTTCCCATTGCCTCTTGTCCTTTCCCTGGTCACCACTGAGAAAAGTCTGGTTCGGTCTTCTTTACTCCCTCCCATCCAGTATTTGTACATGTTGGTAAGATCATCCCGAGCCTCTCTTCTCCAGGCTAAACAATTCCAGCACCCTCAGCCTCTGATTGTATGCAAGAATCTCTTATCCCTTAACTTTCACAGCCCTTCTCTGGACTTGTTCCAGTAGATCCATGTCTGTCTTGTACTTTGGAGCCCAGAGCTGGACACGACACTCCAGATGTGGTTTCACCAGTGCTGAGTAGAGGGGAACAATCGCCTCCCTTGACCTGCTGGCAACATTCTTCCTAACGCGCTTCTTGGCTTACATTGTGGGGGGGAAAACCCAAACCAACAGAACTTCTAAGGGTCGCCTCCTTGAGCCGGTGCTTGACATTGACTCCCTCTTGTCCCATGGTGGTGCTTTCAGAGTTAAGAGTGTGCAATCGTAATGGTTGGATGTGGCCATTTTGGCTCACAGGATGCTAAAGTATGCTGGGGAAGGTAATTTTTGCGTGGCAAATGCATGTAGTTCACAGTGCAAATGGACAATATATGAATCTAGAGGTGCATTTACCTAAGTGTCAGAAGCCCTTCAGTCAGCCCAGCCTTTTCATTTTTATGGAGGGAAAATTATTTACTACATCAAATCACTTGCTTGTCATAGTTCCCTTTTCTGAGTGTGGTTTGTGAAAGCCATGTTGCTGATTTAGAATTCCTGTTTCAGCTGATTTCTCAACTTTTTTCCTCATTTCCCTGAAACGCCGCAAGTCAGGCGTTTCGTTACCAACTGGTTTGACTCGCCATACCTACCTCCCTAACGTGTGACTTGTTAGATCAGTCATTTAAAGTGTTACTTTTGGAAATTTCACCCAGGAATGTTAGGATACTGTTGTTTTGTTCACGAATTGAAGACTGACTCCGTTTTTTTCCCCCCTCTTTTACCATTCAGGATGTATGGGCTATATTGTCACAGTTGATAAGCTATCTAAAACCTCAATTTTTATTGCAGTTACCTTATAACTAATCATCCTGGTCCAATGCAAGTTTTTCCCATCTGTTAGGCAATCATCAGAAGTACATGATGAGATTCTTATGCTCTCCTCTATCCCTCGGTCACTTTCGCCACTCAGCCTATTCCTAATTCTGCAATCAAATGCCATAAAATATTGGTGAATGTCTAATCACAGAAGCTGCTGTGGACTTACTGCATTGGTTTACGTTAAACCATGCCGATTTTGTCATTACGATTCGAAGTCAGTTAAGTCTTTCATTTTGTAAACTTACCAATGCAAGCTAACCTGATAACAATTTTAAATTGCTAGTTATGCGTGCGTAGAATTGCATTGCTTTAATTAAGTAACTAAACACAGACCTAGATAAGTATGTACTGGTAAGGCCTTGTTAATAGGCAAGGCCTTAATTGAAGCTTTTATAATTGTTGTTTACAAAGTCTGTCATTCATCACTGTCAAAGAGTAGTTAAAAATTGCATAGCTATCCTCATCAGTACATGTGTCTTCCTGAAGTTGTTTTGTTTTTCAGTATATAATATTGCCTATTTTCTGAGGGAGGGAGAAGGCACAACCTTTTCCAGTCCCTAATCAGGCTGATTTTCAAAGATCTTTATGTAGAGAACGATTGGCTTAAGAGTTGGCGAGTTTATTCCTGCCTGAGAGAAAATCTCATTTGCTTGTCCTTTCATTTCTTAACTGGAGTTGATGTGTGTTTCATTCCTGGTGTATGAGACCTCTCTTTGCCAGCAGCATAAACCTTTATTGACAGATTTGTGCTGTTTCAGGAAGTATCCTTGCACTGAAAAAGGAGGTTGTCGCCTCTTTTGAGCATCAACTGGGTTATGCGTTTAGGGAATATCAGCTTTAGAGAGTCTTGGGCGCTTTTTTTTTCCTTGTTGGTTGTGGGGTGGGTTGGTTGGTTTGGTTTTTTCCCCTCCTCTTGTCACCTTTCCTCTTACTACTCCTCTAACTCTGAAGTAGACTTTTTGCATATACTCTTCCTGTGCCTGTGGGCCATATTGTCATAGCCAAATACAATGCCTTTAAGGAAAAACAGGGCACCCAACCTCTGGTAAAATAAACACTTTGTTTTGTATATTCAAAGTGTTACACAAATCCAACATAACAGCCTTCTGTTTTTTCCTTTTTTCTTTTTTTTTAATTCTTTTATCTTGAGAAAATCCTGTCTTTTGGGTCTCCCCAGTAGGTTAGCAGCAACAGGGATTTCTGACTCTAACTGACTCTAACTTCATACTCATTCCTCCAAATATTTCCTCAAAATACGTACATTTTAAATTCATTATTTTTTTATTTATTTCCACTGGGATTGAGGGGAGGAAAACTGTTTTGTACATGTTTTAGTTTTTGTTATTTTTGTAGGTGCCGGAGAGAACCTGGAAAACACGATGGCAGCCTTTCACCAGTGAGTACAAATGGAACCAATAATGCCTAAATCAGCGGTGTTCTCATTGTCTTTAGTGAGTGAAGCAATCAAGAAAGATAGGACTTCCATCAGCTGTTTGGGGTACAGTGTCCTATTTCTGAAAGTCATCTCTCCTTTGGATGACTTCTGTGGATTGCTAAACGTTACTGCAATTTCAGCAAGAAGGAATTGGGATACCACAAACTATGATTTGTACACAACAGCGTGGTAGACTGGCAATTGGAAATGAAACTCCCGAGGCCTGATTCCTCCTGTGCTAGCTAATAAAACGTGAAACAGTGCTGCTTCCATGTTTAGTGGCGATTGCTTCCATTAATTTATTTGTCATTATAAAGCTCTTTTTCATAACTAATATCATACACTGTTTTTTCTAGATACTTTGATGTTTCTCAAAAGGTATTTCAGATCATAGCCTATACCAATCTGCTAACTAGCATACAAGGCTGGATTTCAGGAAGTCTGAATCTGTTGACTGCTATTATGGCTGTAAGCAATTCTCTTAGATATTCCACAGTTTCATGGTATTCGGTTCCCTCCTCTATATAGAAGGTCAATAATTTGTCTCCTAGAATTACTGTGACTGAAATCCTACTGTTAACTAACTTCTAATGCACCATCTGTAAAGCTGTTAAAAATGTTTGTTACGCTTTTTCCCTTCATACAAGTACTTCATTCGCACAATGTGTGGAAGCCTCTTATCTGGGGATTTAAAATGGAGTGGGTACTGGAAAGGCTTTTAAGCCTCCAGCATTTAAGTAGTGAATGCTAACAAGGTTCTCAAAGGCATTTGAAAAAGAAGCATATCTAAAACTCCAGCTGCCAATGAGCAGTGACCAAATTATGTAGGCTTCTCTTTGTTTTGTTTTTTCTTAATTTGCTTTGTGCTAAGTAGCCTCATCAGTTTGCACATTTCCTTGCAGACTGAGGAGTGCCAGCTTTCCCAACCAAACAGTGCTATTGAAAGTCCTGCAGTATTTTCTATCTCCATGGAAGCTTAGCATAGTTTTGTGGGGTTTTTTTCCTGCTAGCCTGCCTTTTTTCAAGTCTGCTACCACAGTTTCTGGAAAGCGCTTCTTCTTTTTAACCATTTCTTAATTTCCATTTAGTATCATACTGGTTTTATATGTATGGGGCTCTTACAAAGCAAGTTATACCTATTTTTATTTCATTCCCAGAAGTAAGCTGTAGTACTTAGAGTAAGGACTGTGCTAGGAGTCAAATAATGTTTTGTGGTAATACAGACATTTGTCTGACTCTCTTCTGACCATTTTAATTTCTTTTATGACTATAGTGTAACAAATGCATTAAGGTCCACTTTTTGAACTCATCACAACTGCCAATAGCAAAGTTCAGTTACTTGTTTTGAAATTGTCTTGGCTGAAAAATAAAGGCATGTCGCTTCTGCAGAGAGCAGAGTCAGAGCGATTACTTTGCATTAGGCAGTAGAAAGTCTTCTGGCTTCCTCTGGAGAGGTAGAGGCTGTGTCCTTCCCATCCGCTCATTCCCACCTTCTCCACTGGTAAGCTAGCAAAAGGAATTGGGTAGAAAACTGGTGATCTGCATGGTGAAAAATCAGCTGGATTGGCTCAGATGGCTGGTATGAACTAATCAATTTATAATCCACCAGATTTTTCATGAAGCCAAATAGGGCGTGCCTGCAAGAGCTGTTTCTGCAAGTTTGGACAAGCAGGTGTATTTGACCATTGATATAGTTGAATCTGAAAGAGAACGCTTGTCTGCAACGTAAGACCTACCCCCTTATTTTTGCTTTGTTGACAGTAACCTAAGTATTGACAAGCAAACAGTTTTATTTATGCTGTTTACACTTCAACAGTGATTGGAGAATGTTTAATACTGTTGCATGATAACGAAGAAATTATTCTAGTAATATATAAATAAAGTGTATGGAGGGGGGGAAGCCTTATTGGTAATTTCAAGTTCTATACTAGCTTAACTTACAAATATTCTGGAAAGCAATTATGAGCTTTTTGTACCAAAGACAGTATTTTTTTGTTTGCATGGTAAAATACCCAATAGATTTTTTGGGGCTGTAATCATGTTATACTCTATTTAAATGCTTCTATGATGGTTTTTGATTTTAAAATAATTGATTTTAAGCTAAAAGAGAGACTCACAGAGTCTTAAAGTATTTGGGGATCTGGCATAAAAGATGTCGTAAGAATTTAATTACCAGTTTTATTGTCCCTAATACAGCCATGTACTTTAGCATTCTCTTGACAGGAAGCTGCTAAGTAAACTCTCCAGATATTTTTCTCATTGTATTTCCTTTTCTTTTATGAACACACTTGGTTTAGAGAGAAAGCTTTAAACACTGTAGTTACAGCAACAAAAGTACGTGGTCAACTTAGTATTTATAAACTCTATACATTGAGCTACATTAGGCCTTGCCTAATGGAATTTAGTTTCCAAGGTAAGGCTTTTCTTACGTATTTCCTGGTATGCCCTTTTACTTGGAAACAGTTGGAGTTAAACACGAGCAAAGAGCGCTCTCGTCCTAATCTGCAAATGTGACTCTGCTTCACAGTTTGAGTTCTGGAGCAGTTGGATCTCAATCCAACATGTTCTTCTGAATCTGGAGAACATCTGGAGTCTTCTCTGGAGCAATGTAGATTTGATGTGTTATTACAGAGCTGCAGAACAAACTGATTTCCAGCTGAAAAAACGCAGCACTTTAAGGAAGCTTATTTAGCAGCAAGCTGCTAGTAAGAGCCTGGCAAATTCTCAAATTTGTTAACAAGGCAAGTTGTTGTTCTCCTTTTTCCATGCAGCATCAGTCCTGAATTTCTTAAGCAGTAATATTTCTAATAAACTTTGCTGGTTAAATGATAATATGTGGTACTAGATGGGATCGTTTTCTACAAATTTGGCAAATCTCCTGCAGCATATTTGGAGATGCTTTTCCTCAGGAGGAAAAATTAAGCAGAACAGGCTGTGTATCTTCCATGTGTAATAGGATTTTGTTCCTCTCCTAATTCTTAATTAGTGGCACTGGAAAACAGTTAACAAATTGGTTTTGACAGGCCCCCTCTTGATCATTATCCCAGCTGGACCAGAAATTGTGTTAAACACTTATGGGAGTATGTTCTGATTTTTTTTTCGTTTTGTTGTTGCATTTGTGAGTGTTTATGGCACGTCTGTACTTCAGCAGTCAATAAAGCCCTTTTCTTAAGGAAAAGGCTGTTAACTGAAGTCACAGAGCTTTGGGTCCGGTATAGGCTGTACTCACAGATGTTGTACGTTTGTTCGTAGGTGGATAAAAAGAATAGCCTGGTGTTTTGAAGGAAGTGTTCAGGCTGGGACTTTTAGCTCTCTGCTGGAATGATAACTTCTGAGTATCTTTTCTAATGAAATGAGCAATTCACTTCTCGCTGGAATAAAGCTTAGTTTTTCTGTTCTGGTGTGAGGTTCCTTGTACTTACTTTTCATCAGTATTATTACCACTTTCTGCTTTCTTTACTCCTCCTATGAGCTAAGCTTCTACAGAGTGGACTTGGGATTGGATTAGAACTTTGCAAAGCAGCGGATTGGAACAGGAAAATCTATTTTTCTTTGAAAAATATGACTGGGTTTTTTAGTGGTTTATTTTTTTAAATTTAGAATGAAAACTTTTTCATTAAAATAATAATAATTTTTTTAAAATGTAGTTTTGCTAGCCAAAAAGCCAAAAGCCTGAAAGCACCATTGCTGATTTCCTGATCCATCCATTCCTGATTAACTTAAATCAAGTAAAAAAAAGGCTTTCACATCCCTGTCGTTTGTTGTTTATGCTTACCACAAGATTGATTACTTTTTTGAAAAGAGCTCGCTTCTTCCAACGGTAAATGTGCTGATACTAATAAACATCACGCTCAAAATTCTGAAACAATACTTTACAAGTAGGTTTCTCAATACTGAGGCGGTAGGCTGCAATCGACAGGTGTGCTACGTGATTTGTATGGAAGATGGAGCCAAAGCTCCCGAGTTCAAATCCCATCTCTGATTCACAATACGTTGTTTATTCTTGCATCAGTTTCCTGCTGCAGCAGAGTTATTTGCTTCTTGCTTTGCAGCAAGATTGTGAGGATTCATTGCATCATAAAGCATCTGAAGTACCTCCACTGGGATTAGTTTAATCGAATAACGCGTATGTGTTAGGTTTGGACCTGTATGAAATATATGTGTGGTTCAAGGCAGACTTATTTGCTTCCAGTGCGGTTAATATAGGAACAGATATGTTGGAGCTAGATTGTCACCTGACGAAAGATGAGCAAGTGGTTGTGTCCCATGATGAGAACCTGAAGAGATCAACAGGAGTTGATGTCAACATATCCGACCTCAAATACTCTGTAAGTGGGAGAAAAACTGTTAGTGCTAGATGATGTTTAAAAATGTGTTGGTAGAGTGGCTGGGGTGGGCAGGAAGGCCATGCACGCGTGTGTGTGTGTGTCTGGTATCCGAAGTCTAAGGAGGGGATTCATCTTGTCTTACCAAAACAAAAAAGTTCACTAGGCTCCCTGTGTAGTCAAGGGAGAAAAACCAGCACGTTTCCAGAGGGTGATTAACTCTGTCTAATAGCAGGTTGGATGAATAGCTTTCTGGAGGTGGGCCTGTTTTGCCATACTGATGACAAAGGAAGCTTAGTCAACAAGCTCCTTCTCATATGACCAGCTTTTTAATGTGAAAACCGGTAGATGAATCCCACCTGCATTGACAGTTTTAAAAGCCTGTTTTACAGAACTGTCTTTCCATCTGATATTTAACTGGAATTCTCAGAATTTTCAGACAGGCGTCTGGAAATGTTTTGCCTTACTCAGCGACAGGTAGCACAAGTCTAAGAATGCCAAATAGTTGAAGTACGAATGAACACAGTGCTTCTAAATCACTTTTTGGGCGCAAAAAGATTTTAAAAAAAATTATTTTTGTCTTTGAAGATAACTTACATAGCTTATGAACTATAATTTTTTTTGTCTTTTTCGAGAAAAGTCATTCTTATATCCCTGCAATTGAATTAGTGTTCCATTTCCCTTCATTTTCAAGGAACTTCCACCATATCTCTGCAAGTTGGATGTCACATTTCAGAAAGGTAAGGTTTTTGTCTTATGCTGTTTCAATTTACAGTACCAGTAACTAATTTTCCACTGTCGTAGCGTGGTGATTTCTTACTTTGGCAAAGGGAGCAGAAAGGCGGATTTGCTTCTATCAGTATCTTGATGAGAGAAGTTTTAAAAGGAAAATATAATCCTAGCTTTAGAAACCAAAATACGTTTCTTTCATACCACTTGGCAGTGACTAAGTTTAAGATGCAAGATATCTTTTTTCCAGGTAAACATTTCAATTGTTTGCTTGTCTACTCCTCGCAACTGCTTTCCAGTTCCCTTGTGAGATCTTCAGAGGGTGCTGATTGAAAATTTGTTGTTCCGAAAAACAAAGAGAAGGCAGAAGAGAACTTCTTTAGAACTCAAATGCCATTGTGCTGGTGCACTCTGGGCTTGAAGTACTACAAGATGTCAGATAATACAGACATTTTCAGAAGGGTGAATGGAAAGAGTAGTAGTTACTGTATGTATGACTTAAAGTTTAGTACCAACATTGCTGCAAGAGAGGAAAACCTAGAAAAAGTTTAACCTGTTTTCTTGTGAAAACCGTGGTTCACGGGACTATAACTTGAATAAAGCATACAGGCTAAAATGGAGAGCACTTCTACCTAGAAAAGGCTACCAGAGATGGTATCAGATGTGTTTGCTTGCTTGAGGGGTTTTGTGACGATCTTGTGTAGCCTTTCCGTATTTGAATTGCCCAGCAAGCAAATTTTGTGTTAAACATTTCTGTTCAAAATTGCAAAATACTTAAAATGCACCAAGATGAGATCCATGACGTGTTATTTTCACACACATGTATCTTTTGTTTATGTACAGTAATACAAAGAGATGGCAAGGGTGTTCAGTTAATTCCCTAGAGCCACAAGCAGTTTCAGACAACAAAATTTGGGGGGGTTGCCTTCTGTTTCCTTTACTCATTATGCTTCTCCAGTAAATTTTCGTAGAAGGAAAAGTTTTCTCATTTGGTCATGTTTCATATCAATCTCATTGCATTTGGTATGTGGTAACTGAGCCCATGTTTCAGGACTTCAACGATGCCTGCACTCTTACTGTTGCTAAATAATGACTGAATTTAATGAAGTTCAAACCGAAATGTACAGTATGCTCAGGGCATTTTCATTCTGGAAGTGAGTTTGTCATAATTAACTACAACTGAGTGAAGTAATTTTTTTTTTTTTCAGTTTAAAAGTGTGATAATTCTAGGAACTTTTTTTTTTAAGATAAAAGCTGAGATGTCAGAGCACTTATCTGTAGTGCACTAAAAATGGTCACAGCAGTGACAACTTTCTTGTTTCCCCAGAATGTCACTGTGAGGGAAAAGACAACCGTATTCCACTCCTGAAAGAGGTGTTTGAGGCATTTCCACAAACTCCTGTCAACATCGACATCAAAGTGAACAACAATGTGTTGATCAAAAAGGTACATGAAAATCTACGCTGAACTGAGACTGAATGTCATGTAACGATGTTGACATTCCAGAAGAAAAGTTTCTTGGAGTTGCTAGCAGCCTGTAACACTAACATCTGTGTTCTTGGACTGCTTCATCATTCATGTGTTAGATCTTGCTCCATGTATGAGGTAATACAGAAGACAGGGAAGCGATCTTGTGCAAGATATTTAGCAAACAGCTCTCTACTGACCCTTTATCTTGACGTGAAACTGATGCGACACTGCTAGACACGTTTGGTTTGTACTTCATATGAAGGGTCGTCTCACAGACTGTTGCCTACCAAAGCATCGTAAAAACATGATGTCAGTGTAAAGATAAGTCTTCATTACAGAAAAGGAAATCTGCTTTCCACCAGATACTATTTTGCCATCTCGTTTTCTTAAATTCTCTGGGTTTTTTTGTAGGTGTAATGGTCTGTCTTTTTATCTGTTGACCTGAATGCCTGTTTCTTTCCAGTCAAAGCAGCGCAATCATCTTAAGATGGGAGAGAGTACAGAAGAACTGGCTTTTCCGTAATGACTTCTGTAGTTGAAAAGTAACAAGTAGAGTTTCAGTTAAATAATTCTGCACATGATTTTCAACGATACATGTTAGCGTTCTGCTTTTTTATATTGCAGGTTTCGGAGCTGGTGAGTCGGTATAAGCGAGAGCATTTGACGGTGTGGGGGAATGTCAGTTATGAGGTTGTATCAAAGTGTCTTAAGGAGGTAAGAATGGGTCCAGCTAAGCTTCATTCTTGCCTGCTTGTTACTGTGTGGTGACAAACTGTACAGAAAAACACCCTGTAAATCAAGATCTAGCCAGCTATGCCAGACTTTCAGATGTGATGAGAAATTTTGCACTTAGATTGTGTTCTGCTTGCTACACTGTTACAATAAATCAAGCACCATTAACACCCATATACTCTGCAATAAGATACTTGAGGAATTAAGCTTAATCATGTTTTATTCTTGTTCTATAAAATCCAGGGTGTTATGATTTTATGCCAGGAACTCTTAGAGCCTGTTTTGCATCTCATTAATCTGGTACAAAAGCATTTTTTCTAAGGATTGCTTATTGTGTGTTTCTTTTTATGAAAATAATGGATGTGGCCACTAATTGACACACAGTTACATTGGTATAAAGCTGTTTTACAGCTATAGAGTCTATTCCTTTTTGTGCTGAGGAGTTGTACCATTTAGAATTAAATTAAGATTGTGCTTAGTCCGAGGGAGTTATGCACCTGAGTGAAACTGATCTAGTTGAGAGTACAGATATTGTTCGGATTTATCTGTGCAGGACAACACACCATTTCCTACCTGAACAGCAGTTATATTTGTTCATTTTCATAGCATCAATGCCCAAATATTTTGGTTCATAAACCAGCATCTTTAAAAATGTGTTGTGAAGTGAGTTGATGTGGTACCAAGTCCTGTCCTAAAGCACAGCTTGTTCTTTGCAGTAATACTAGTCTAAGACAAAATGCTGCATAGTGTCACGCAGTCTGGAAAGATGATGAAGGCAGGTAACAAAAGCAGTACTGCAACCAGTGAAACTTTACCTTTTCCTGTCCCAATGCCCCTTCAAATTGTGTAAAGCTTTTGCTTGGATTACAAGCTACCAGAAAGAGTAATTTTAATTCAGCGGCAGGCATATCATAAACAGTTGGCAGCCTAATCTTTAGGCTAGTGCTAAACTTCAAACATGTATCGATGAGTACATTTTATTGCAACAGACCCAACAATCTACCAAGATAATTTAGAATCTTTCTTTCCTGGGTCCTGCAGAATGCTGACATTCCAATCATCTTCTGTTTGCAACGTGTCCTCCTGCTTCTTGGCCTGTTCTACACTGGTCTGCTGCCATTCATTCCTTTCAAGGAAGAATTCTTGGAAATTCCCATGCCTTCAATCATCCTCAAGTGAGTTAGAGTCCATCGGTGGGTGCTGCACTGAAATGGTAGTAAAGCGAGTGCATGCTTTGAGCATTGGTTTAGTCGGTATCCTCGGACTGAGGATACTGTTTTGTTAGTTGAGGCACTTTTGTATATTCCTAAGAGAAAGCTATGCAAATCTTTTGCTCCTCTGTATTTAACCTGTCTCTAGCCAGCTCTGAGTTACTCAGTTGTTGGTGTGGGGTGCCTGTGTATATCAGTGTTTACCGTTAACAGCATCTCCTGTAAATACCGCCTTCATGCAGCTGCCTTTACAATGCAGCTTGTGCTGATGCCATCTAGATAGTAATATGTAACAGCACGGTACAAATAACTAATTCTTGTGCTTTTCTTCCTCTTTCTTGAGAACAAATTAGTCTGAATAAGGCCAAGCGGCAAGTCAGTAATAGGGTGGATATGAGATTTCACGTGCTCTTTGTTTCTCATACTTTACTCAAAATGCTGCTGAATATTCATCTCTGCTGCTTCTCTTAAATGTAGCACATTTCTCTTGTGTAACCCAATTCTAAGTCACTGTCTTAGACAGTGAAATTCTGCGCTAATTTGAGAAACTGCAAGATTAATTCTTCATGTTCCTTTTGCAGGAACATCTCAACTAATGTTTTAATCCGTGCTCTGGTAATCTTTTGTTTCCTCTTCCTCAACAGGCTGAAAGAACCACAGAAGATGACAAGAAGCCAGAAATTTATTATCTGGCTAGCTGACACGTAAGATTTTAATCTTACTAAATTTGTATTTATATTTTGCAATATACAGTTGGCTCAAGCAACTAAGACTAGCTATTGCTACAGCTACTTGTTACGTTGTAATTCTTTTCAGTTTCTTCTAGCTTCATTGTCAGTGCAGCATAAATCATATTCAAATCTTACGTAGGTGTTCGTGTATGCTTTTATTTTTCATACGCTGAAACGTACTAACAGTGGGCATTATTCCAATTTAGTCTATCTAGTTTCTGTCATTAAGTGTGTTCAGTTAATTAGCATGCAAGTAGATTCAGAATGCGGCTTTCGCGTTTCATGGCATTGTGACTGTTTCATAATGTTGTCAGAGGAGATACTGTTTGGCTTACGCACTGCATTTTAAGAATATCTGTGCTTCAGAGGAAACTTAGTCATGTGCTTTCAGAGGTTGAATGTGGTGGCAGTAAGTGTCTCCTGGCTCTTGCTTCTGTGTCTGCCATCTGTTAGTTTGATTTCTTGGGTGGCCAGCAGAGTGTTCATGTCTTCTGGTGTGAAGGATGAAATCTCTTCTGAAAGCAAAGGGATTGATTCATCGGACGTGGAACAGGGTACCTGCACGATGAAGGAGGAATCTGCTGGATTTGATCTTCAGAAGAGTTGATAGAAATATGCATAGCTAATGCAAATTTCTGGGTGTCCGTGTTAACCAGTCTTGAGTTGCTTGAACTAAAAGTTTTCTATAATTAGGTTTCTAATCACTTTCTTGTGGAAAACGTTGTATCTAAATGCTCTGTGGAAAACTTATTACAGAACGTCAACAGACATTGAAAATTTCATATATACTTCAAGTTCTTAAATAATATCTTTCTCCTTTCTGCAGATTGCTAATGCGGAAAGCACTTTTTGACCACCTCACTGCTCGGGGCATTCAGGTACAGTGTGGCAAAGCTAAAGGAAATGTGCTTTTAACCTAGTGAGAATTTGAACCAGCCAGGTATGGCCTTAAGATGGGTTCATGTTCTCCCCAACATGTTCTGTTGTGTTGCTCGGATAATAAGTTGCTTTTTGGTTCCTGAGCAATAGCTTATGCTGTTATATTTGCAGTTCTGTAGTTGCAAAGGAAGAATTGTATGCTTGGAAAAAGACTCTTTAATTTAAATCCCTTTAAGATTCCCCCCCACGCACTTCAAACTTAAGCCTACAAAATCTGCTAACTGCTTACCTATTTTGGGCTTTTGACAAAATAATATTTTGACTCTTGGAAGTATCTGAAGTCTCAGGTAACAAAATGGAGTTGGAGTCGCCACTAGAAAATGCCCCCTTTTGGAGGGCGAGGGGGAAGAAGTTGGATATGTTTGTGTGCGCGTCTTTGGCATCACAGTGTAATCATTTATCATTTTGGATGTATGCGGCATCACCTCTCTCACATGAAACAATTCAGGTCAAAAGTCACCTTTTTTTAATTTATTTCCTGTAATAATTTGTGTCTCTATCCCATCTCATAGGTGTATATTTGGGTCCTGAATGAAGAACAAGAATACAAGAGGGCATTTGATCTGGGAGCAACGGGAGTGATGACAGACTATCCAACAAAACTTAAGGAGTTTTTACACAATTATCCAGCATAAAGAAAGAAAACCAAGGAAGTTCTTGCAGAATAGATTGTGAGCCAAGGATTTTCTTCATTTAAAAAAAAAAAAAAAAAATTGAGCAGCATACTCAGATCATTTTATTTGAAAGATGTAATTGGATGATCTATTACCTTGCTGTCAAATTGCTACCTAATGTAAATGTTGTCTATTTATTTTAAAACTTTAATTACATAGTTTACATTTGTAAATAGCTCATTTAGGAACAGTACACTTCAAAAATAGTGATAACTAGGAAGAAAGTTGCTGGATAGGATACCTGTAGATAATAAGCATTATTTTACCTGTCACAAGTGTTCCTAAGCAGATGTCAGTTATTCCAGTTATATTCTAGTGGGCAGAAATGTAAGAATTTCTGAAAGTGTACCCAGTGTGTATGCATTTCTTGTGCTGCTTTTAGTTTTCAGATAACTTTGTAGGGCAAAAAAGAAAAACAATGCACAGGAGAAATAGAAAGCAGAGTCTGTGGCTAGCCAGATAGTTTCGCCTGTGAAGTGTAGTCAGTAAAGGCGGTCACTTTTTTACCAAAATTAACTCACTTGGTCAGTATAGATATACTCAATTATTCTTACTGATAAGAATGTTGAGCTTGAGTTGCAACTGTATTTAGACCCCTTTCTGATGTGATGGTAATACTGTGACTTATTGGTCAAGGTCTAAATACAGCATTTAAGCCAGGTTCTGGGTTTGGCACTGAGTTCCACTGCCAGGGTCTAGGTTTGCCCCTGGTTCTGACCTGCCTGTCAGGCTACCATGGCATGGCAGTAGCTAGCTTTCCAGAAAGGAAGATTGCACTTGTTACAGATTACACTTGTTATACATCACACTTACTTTGAAATAGTCTTTTCACAAAGGAAGCTGATGTTTTAGAAGTCTTTTGCGCATTTGTAGTTCTAACATCTGTTGGCTTGATGAATGGGAAGTTGTTTTTTAGGGTGAGGGACCAAAGAAGACTAAGTTTCGTCAGGAGTTTCAGGAACAAATTAAAATGTTCCTATTAAATGAATTCACCCAAAGCAGATTTATATGCATACTTATAAAAGGAGCAAGCACCATTCTAGGATGTGTGTAAATTTTAGTCTTTCCTCTCCACAAAAGTACATTCAATATTCATTAAGTTTATGTGCATGGACATGGAAGTAACTTCACTGGCAAAAGCCAGGACGCCCCGAGTGTGATGGAATGGGGTTAGATAGGAAGGTATTTCTGGAAGCTTACACGCTGTTCTGTCATTGTGAACAGGTGTTCTACGTGTGTCAGACAGATTTGAGCCTGCAATGCCTGTGTGTTTTGGTGGTGTCATGTTAATGGTAGGGGGTTTCGGAAGGAATTTGATTACTGTAGCTTAATTATACACAATGACATGTATAAAGCTCAGTCATTTAATCATCAGATACTGCTGGAACAAAACTACTGTTTAGTGATGGTATCTACTTTTTTAAGGACCTTCATGTGAAAATGATGGATCTTAATAATAGTAGCCAGATGCAAGAGTATATTTACTGAAAGGTGTACTCGCTGTTATAAAAACTTTTAAAGTAATTTTTTTCCCTTGCTAGCTCAGATTTGGAAGGGCTCTTGTTTCACTCCGCTGGCTGCTGTGCCATAGTTGTAATTGTGGAGCATCTTTGCTGTTTCATTATGTCTGTCAGTAGGCTGTCAGTGTTAGAACGACAAGTCCATCTGGATGGATAATATTTGTTTCTGCATTATAGTTCCTTTCTGAGGAATATTTCTACATGGATGAAGTGGAAGAAACTTCTGCATTTACGATTTAAGTGAACATGTGATAATGGTGGCAAATAAGTTAAGGGTGTCCTTCTAAATATCTGCCTGGTTAAAATGGCTGTAGATTCAATTTCCTCTTAATTTAATCAGGCTCGTTGAATGGAAGAGAGGAAAAAGTAACTTCCTAACTGTTCACAGGAAAAAGGATGAAATGATTTATTATGTGCTTATAAGCTTCTTGTTTCCCGTTCAGACCAGTTATGTCTGGTCAGATAACTGCTAAGAATCAGTCTAGTCACAGTTCTGCCTGCTTTCTAGTAGTCACAGAATAGTTATAGAATAGGCTCCATACGCAGCTCAGTAGGTAAATGAAAAACTTCCACCCTTTCTGTCTTAATTTGGTTTACTAGCCAGCGTGTAGCTCCAGATAGTTTTTTTTTTTTATGCAGTGTGGTTTTCTTCAATTTTATTGCTATTGAATTTCCAACATGCACACCTATATTAAGATGCAAATATAATTCTGGTTTTAGACAGTACTACCAAATAGCACATGTTAAAACTTCTTTTTTTTTTTTTTAGGCTAGAAAAAGCTAAGTTTTAAAATACCAGTCTTGATTTCTGGACTTGATCTCTCAAGGGACAGGTGATGACTTAGTTTCTCTCTCAAGTTCCCCTCATCGCTGCATAAATAAACTATTTTGCTTTATTCTATATTGAATGACAAAACACAGTTACTGAAATGACAAACTTAATTTTTTAATTTCATTTTAATCTTTTTCCTCTTTAGCAGTGGTGTTGGAAACTTCTGCCTTGAAAGATGCTCAACACATTTTTTCAACCACTAGCCTCCCTACATCTGATGTAGCTTTTGACTGTGCTGCTTGTACATGACCTCTCTTTGATAAGTCTGCTACTTGATATCTGAAATTTGAATGAGTCAAGTTACATGGGAGGGAAGGGGTTCAGTGCCGGAAAAGCTGCTGAATTTATTCAGTCATTTGGGCTTTAGTACAAGAGCTAAAGTTTGATCTCTTGAGACAGATAATGTTGCATGGATGAGGCTGTGAATCTGAGCACCAGTGCACGGGGCTTAGGCCATGATGACTGTTTGTAACAAAATAATGTGGAATTGAGGTAACTGTAGAATGTTTGTTCTATCAAATCATTGTTTTGAATATTCCAGAACTTGCTGTGTGATTTTTAAACCACTTGTACAGAAAAGCATCTGTTGATAACTTGCACAGCTGTCCAAGAGGATGTTCAGTTAATCTCTCTCTCCAAGGAGAGATTCTTTTCAGGTACTTTTCACTCTGAATATTGTTTAACACTTATTTTGCAATAGGATTGAGAACACAGTATTTTATGTATGAAGGATGATGCATGTATTCCATGCACTTTTAATTTGCAGAAAGTCTTGTGGACCTCTCTAGCTCCAAATCTATGAAGTGATTTTTTTCTTTTCCTGTAAAGAAAGATTCATGCTCTTGAAATGTGACACATTAAAACATCTTTGCTCATAAAACTAAATACTTACTAATTGTGACTTCTTTGCCTAAAAGTATAATTTCTGAGTTTATGATGCTATATTTATAGCGTAGTAAACATTGAACTTTCAATGGTGATCTTTTTATGTGGATAGGGTTGCTGAAAAGAAGGGGGTATCTTACATACTCAGAACTTTTAAGAAATTTTTGGCAATGACATTGGTTTTCTCATACAGTAATGATAGTATCTGCAACCATGTGCAGCTAAATGAAGCCTGCAAAAGAGTTAAGCCTGCCTTCTCCATGTGCAAATAAACTTTTAAGTAAAACTTTCTAAGTCAATTCCAATTTGATTTTTCTATCATTTATTTTAAGACAGAAACAGTAGTAGATAAACTTGCTCAACAATAGTAGATAAACATGATCAGAAGCAGTCTCCATATGCGATGCTAGAAAACAGTGTAGAGAATTCTGCTGGTTAACAATGCAGTACGTGCTGTTGCTTCATTGCTTCCAAACAAAGGTCTGTCTGCAGAACAGGCATCGCAGGCTTCAAAGCAAGCAGCCCGCCTGTGCACCTGAAAATTCAAATAATCAAAACTTAAGATCGGAGAAGAGTGGGAAGGCATGCAAATTAGATACTAAACTCCTGAAATTTTACTACGTGTTGTTCAGCTTGAAGTAGACAGGTTTGTGTAATGGGGGGGAGGGAAACAAGGATGAAGATCCCAAGTGTCTTAACTATAACAGCATGCCAGGAGAGCTGGTTCTGTGTGTATGTTTTTGGCATCGGCATCTTTCAATGTGAAGAACTGGCAAATTCTGTCTACTTGTCTACGTTTGTAGCACCTTTATGGAGTCTGTAGTTCTGTATGGATGAAAACAGCAAGGTGGAATGAGCCAAGAAATGCTTCTTATCTCAGTATTATTTTGAGAAGTATTACATATGCTAGTGTTTTGGATAGCCGTGCTCAAAGGTAACTGTGTAAGTGTGAGAGCTTTGGCCTTTGCTTTGCACTTCAGTGTAAAAATGGCTGGCTGCATCAGAGCTGCTTTCTAATTATTTCTTTTTAGAAATCATGATCCTTAATTCCTAAGCACACTAATGCATGCCTAAATAAATACCAGCTTTTTTGGTTGGGGGACATGTCTTCTTTTTTGAAGTATACTGTTTGGTGTTCAGCCAATTTAATGGTTGATGGCCCAATTCTGGCAGCATTACAAGATTGTATGTGCGCGTTTATAGTGTTACAGGTCAGGTTTTGAAAACACTGACAAAATCATCTTACGTAGCCTGGTTCTAGACGTTAGCTCTGATCTATAATGTGACTCATCAGTTTAATTACAGAATGTAGCAGTTCAGAGATGTGGAGGATATCGTATCCTGTCTATGTACGTATATTGTATCTGAATTGAAGGGGGGAAATGAAAACGTTCGGTTATCTGCGTGCGTAAGATACGGTAGCAGAGGAGCTGCCCTGAGGTTGAAATGAGAGCCTTCATTGTAAAAGGGCTTGATACGCTTTTTTCACTTGGTTAATAGTCGTAGTTTTCTATTTGCTCTTTGCCGAAATGGTAAATATCTGATAATTTAGACTTAATTTAAAAAATGACCTTACTGTGGCCCTTAAATTATCCTGAAATACCTTTCTGTAATGTCTTAAGGACACTTTTGTTCTAACTAACTCTCTCCCACACACAGCGAGTCTTCTACCTGCTCGCTTTTGTAGAAGAATTACGGAAAAGATGGTGATCGATGAGTTAGAGAGTATAAAAAGCCTTTGACAGTCGACAGGTATCTGCTTCTGAACCGGGGACAGCAAACCAGCTGTTTTGGGTACGTTCATATTAACGGGTACTCCACCTGTAGCAAGTTTCTGTAGAGTGTTGTGTTGTCCTGTGTTGGGTGAGAGTTTGCTGTAAATATGGCGCTCTGATACCGATGTTCTTTTCCTCATGATAAGCAGGTTAATGTTTCCTCTAGTCCTAGAGGTAAATTTCCAGCTTTCCTACAGGATTTCCATTAAATTACACTAAATACTAGGTTTTAAGGCCAAGTGTAATTTTAAAGCCCCGAGGCTTCATATTAGGTAAGAGAGGTGAAGTGGGGTTTTTGTATGTAACAGTATTTAGTAACTTTTGAAGGATTTTGGCAGGCCGATGAGAGGATTTCCCAGATTGCTCTGGGCAGTATTTTATTTCTTACTACGCATTCTAAATGGATAGTAAACCATTATAGGGAATTGGGAAGCATTAACGAATATTCACGTGCCTTTTAACACGGAAAGTACTCACCTATGAATACGTCGTG